AGCAGGACGCCTTCCTTCCTCAGGTCATTTCACCTTGCCACCTACAGAAATCATATGCACACACACACACTTCGGATTAAGACCCAGTGAGCGAACAAGTTTAGCTCTACACCGAGTGAGGCCGCGGGTGGGCATAGTTTGGTTTAATAAGGCTCTTCTATCTTTTTTTGGCCATGCAAAACGCCCCATTTAGCTCGTGACTAGGCCGAATCGGCCCACAACCGGGCTTGGCGACAGGTAGCTAGGCTGCTTAGAGAGACTTATTGCTGCCAGTCCCTGAAGACGACCGAGAAACCTGTCTCCTGGCTCACGTGCCTCGGGAAAATGAGGAGTGATCTTAATTTTAAGGGATTAGACAAAGATAGCTTTACACATAATGCATGTGCGCAGAAGACAGAGCTAAAGTTCACACAGTCAAATGTTGTATAAATGCAATAATGGCCACAGATGAAGGAGGCGCCATCGAAAGCAGTAATAAGTCTTGCTGCAACTTAACATTACGCCAAAAGGGGGAATTGCAAATTGAAATAGGCCGATAGAACTCGTAGACATATCTGGCACGTGCGCATCCTGGGTTCGAGTCCTGTCGGCAGCGGTGTTCGACTCTGACGAGGTCAAACTTGAGCTCCGTCTGAACGACAGTGGACGTTGGGGATACCTGGAAAAGTACAATTTTAGGGCAGAAATCCAATTGTTTCCTTATTTCATTGTGGCTTCAAAAGACAAGTATAGATGGTGGACCCCACACTCTGCAGTAGTCCTTTTTGAAAGGTGTTTTCAATCCAGATTTGAAAAATACATTAAATTCTAAAGGAAGGCAAACTTTTAGGACAAAGAGAAAAGCAAATTAGGACGCAAAAGTGCAATTAGGTAAATATATAATCACAGCTTGATGAGCAACTTGGTCAAAAAACTGTATTTTAATGGCTGTACAGCCATAAATTGATTAACTGAAGTTGCTTTGGGGCACTCAAGTCCCAATGGGATTAATAGGAAACCTCAAAAAATATTTGTTCTGTTGTAGATTTCATGTTATTTAGGTTGTTAAATTGCTGCAAATATACGTTGTTAGGTGAATATTTGAATCCGGCAAGATCTTTAAGTTCGTATGAGAGTAGGGTTTCGAGACTACCATAAATCAGTGAAATAAGATCTATTCACTCTATTTCGTCTAAGCTGATGAAGGACTGGTAGTAGAATTTTCCCACAATGACATGAGTTGAACTGACGTTTCCATTGAATTTCATATAGCCTTGCTTTCTCAAAAGTTGTTCTCATCCAGGCTGGACTGCAGTCTCGACCGCACATCGGTCTTATCAACACTCTCAACGGGAGTCGAACCACGACAGTGCAGAATGTGAACTTGACACGTTAACCACTCGACCACATTGCCACGAGTACCCTTCAGAAACAGGGCATAAGTGAATTTCAACGAAGGTCAGGCCTTTTCTCATACCATATTCTTTGGTGGGAGTGTCGATGAAGCAAACGTATATTTGCTATAGCAACCGACTACGTTACTTATATTCGTATGAGAGTAGGGTGAATACATCTCAATACATCTCAAGATCTTTAAGTGCTCTCCATTGTACGAAATAATCATTTTTGTTTCCATACAGGTCCACTTGGAAGGCTTTAATCTCGTTTCTTTTGCTCAAT